CAGTCATAGAGTTGTGCAGCAAGTGGAATAGCCTAGCAAGTAATAGTGGAGGCAGGAACCATACAGAGTTTTTTAAAGTAAGAGGTATGAACAAAGCTCAGAAGCAGTAGAGAGAGAGGATCCAGTAGCGATCAGTGAAGAGCGGGGCCAGGAGCTGAGTCTCGAACCAGCAACCAAAATTAGGTGAGTACAATTAGGTGAGTACACACACACACACACCCACACACACACACGTGGATAATAGCTTTAATTTATACATTGAGCAAATCGTATTTTTTCCAGAATTCTGTAAAATACCACAGTGGACCAATACATGCCATTATTCATGAACATTTCTGATTTCTCTGTAATTCCTGTATTATTATCGCACTCCATACATAATGAACGCAAGGTGTGACAATAGTCCATCTGGCCAAGTTTATACATTTCGTTTGTCTAACATCTGGTGGTTGTGATTTAGCCCTGCCAAAGATACTTGTAACCAAGGCCGGAGTCCCGTGGCGGTAAGTGACATCCAAGTCTGTTATTTTGTTGGATGCAACATAAGACATGTGGCTCCTCCTGTATGATGGAATGATGATAGATGCACCTGACAGTTGTCAGTCTCCTCTGTGTATTAAAGTCAATAAAATTCAGATGAAGTTCTATTCGAATTATTCCAACTGCAAACTGGACAAGCCATGATTGTAATCAAACCCCCTCTGTTGAGAGAGTATCACTTAGCCAGTTCATCAGTTTATCATGCATCTGAAGAGCCAGCATGTATAGCCCTTGTGGCTTAGCGCTTCATTTTTGATTAATAAAAATCTGAAGTACCAAGAGTGAGATGGAATCCACAGCATGGTGCAGCTCTGACTCAACTGTCCACAATCTCAACCATACCAGTGTCCCCTGGCTCTGACATAAAGCAGGCCACAATTTATACTAATGAGTTAAAGAGCATTTAATGGATAACAGAGAATCAGTTACAATTAAAATTTCAACCTTAGATACATGACGCACTTGAGAACAAGGAGTATGGCAAACAGTTCTTCTGAGAGGGAGAGGCCCAGTAATTGATGCGTGCTCCAATTTCTTTAGAGAAGCCATCACTCTGAGTATAACAACAGCAGCTCAACCAGCTGGCACCAGTGGGGTTTTGTGAACGGAATAGCAACGAAATAATTTGTGAAAGAGTGTGTCTGTGTGACTAAACTTATCAATACAGCTTAAGTCAGCCTGCTTGGCTCCAAGGCGAAGTCTATGGTTGTGGTTTAATGAAGTATTTTGGGGGAAATGATGGAGGTAGTTTGGAAAGGAGCAATAGCCAAATGGAGCGGGAAGATGGTCGCTGTTGCCTTACTGACATACTAGATAATACTGGTTCATGCGGGAGGTCGGTTCCAGTTTTTTCAATCCCTTGCAGCAGGTTGATCACCCGAGCTTAGTAAAGTTAGGAGGGCTTCTGTTCTTCAGGGGTATTGAATGGGCAAACTCTAAGCATATTGACCCCAATTGATGATATTACTATTCATTAACGACGGTCTACTGATACTATGAAATAAAAAGTTCTTTTCTTTCCCGCATATTTAAAATTTTGGGGCAGTACTAGGCAACCCCAGGATAATCACAGCATTGCTTCGTCTGCAGTTTTTCTTCCATCCCTCCAACGCTTCCAGTCATACACAAGAGCAAGGTAGTGGCGCACATAAATCTACCAGTGATCTAATATAAGCAAGATGTAATCATTTTCACCATTTTAACTTTAGCACAATACCTTTGATGAAAACTTGCCACAAGCTCAAAGTACTGCTCTGCCAGTCTTTTAATTGGCGACAAATATAATAGGGCTCTCCCAGCCTTTGAGCATTCAGTTCCCCAACAACAATTACTTTTCCTCACTTGTTTCGATAATATATAATAAAAAATGAACACATAAGCCACAAGGCTAACAGCGCTGCAGGGCAGGAAGGAAGCGATGGGCGCTCCGTGGCAAAAGGGAGATGGATGATTAATAGGTTACAGATAACAGCGTGGCAGTGGAATGGTGAAAGGGTAAAGGCAGGTAAGAGACTGAACTAGAAAAGGGCTGAGGGTAGTGCGAAAAGTAACAGCAATTTGTGTGAGTAAATCAGTCTAGTTAGTCAAGAAAGTCCAATGAGAGAGTCATGATTAAAGGAGGTTCCATACACAAGAAGGGAAGGTAAAGAGAGAGTAGTAGAACGAAGACGACGTTGGAGGTAAATTCTGCGAGATCGTTGATAGAAGAGGGGCAGTCTAGACAAATGTGGCTAAAACGATACTGGAACCTTGACACTGCCACAGAGAGGAAACAGGTGCCTCTCCATGAGATACCCAAGAGTAAGACTAGTGAGACCAATGCGAAGGCGGGAGAGAGTGGTCTCCCAACCTCGTCCACTGATGACAAGAAGACGGGCCAGTAACCTATGCTCGGTTTTAATAGAATGAAGTTTTGTTCCCAAGTCAGAGTTTACCAACGTTTGTTGCCAACAGGAGGCTAAGGTTGGTATTCTATTGCAGCAAAATAGTCGCAGAAAATGAACACCATCGATAGGAAATTGGTAGGTCATGTACTGCTGACGCGCGCAGCAGTGTCTGCCTGTTCGTTTTGCCCTGTCATCGACATGAACCAGGGGGACCCAACAAAAAACAATATCTTAGTTTTGATAGAAGATACTGGCGTAGCCAAAGTTGAGAACGGAGAACTAGGGGAAGAGATGTAACAAATTTCATATAGCCTGTAGAGCACTAAGGTGAGTCTGAGAACAACGACAAATTGATGACACAGGCAAAGATGCGATACGAATAAGTGCTGCAAGATATGCATACAGTTCCAGCAGTAAAAAAGCTAGCTGAAGATAGTAACGGTGGCCCCCGCACGACCGCTGTTCAAACACTCAACATCTCCTAAAAATTTTATGTCTTACACTGCCTCTCTTCAACAAGTGCATAATACATTTAGGTTTAACCTATTTTTTTCTGCATCCGACCCTTATATTAATATGCATAATCCATGAATTTATACACTTATATTACCGCTTTCTGTCGTAACGATCCTTCACCATTATTGCTACTTCTACCTTAGCTTAACATGATACATACGAACAGGTACTGCGTTAACTGACTCACGAAATCGTAAGACACGATTGCAAACATACCAAACACGGGCGGGGATAGAACCCGCGATCAGTCTCAAAACTCCGAGACCGTCGCGTTAAGCCACGGTACCCTAAAGCTAGCAACAATTAAGATTAGTCAACTAGGAAAATTTCTAACACCATTGGAAGGTATACATAGGCACCACAGTGACCACAAATCTTGTTTTTACAGACTAAATCGTCCCTAGCGTGGCCGGACTGAACCTAGCTCAAGTCCCCTCAAAGTCGGTTAACATTACTTACGAATATCGTATCATGGTATGGTTTGTTTGCAATCGTGTCATTACGATTTCGTCGAGTCATGTTAACGCTGAGGGACTTGAGCTAGAGTATCGTCCTCGGCACGCTAGCTGATATTCGTCTGTAAAAACTTGAATTTTGTGGTCACTGTAGGTGCCTATGCTAACCTATCCTAAGGTGTAAGAAATATACCTAGTTGGACTAATCTTAATGATGCTTAGCTAAGTCCAATTGGCTAAACGCGACGGTCTGAGTTTTGGAGACTGATCGCGGGTTCAATCCCCGACCCGTGGTAATGGTTATCATGTACGAGTCGTAATGTTGCACGCACAAACTGTATTAAGTATTACATGTCCCACTGTATAAAAATATACGTACACACATACTGTATATATACACACTTACTATAAACAACCATTAACTCGGTCCACAGCAGGATTCGAACTTTGCAAACCGGCAACAGAGTGCAACATCAGTACTTACTCCAAAACGCCAGACTCCAGCAGGAATATGAACTGGGTGAGTACTCGATGCCGAAGTTGCAAAGTTTCGATCCTGCTGGGGGTTGAGATAAAGTTGTAACAAATTTTACCTTTGGCGATTGTTAAGCACACGTAACGTATCTATTAGCGTACTGAATGTGTTACCAATACTGTATACATCATCTGATAGTGTCAAATACACTTACTGTGTGAGAATTAAGTGAGATTACAACAACAAAAATTTCCTGTTATTTATTTAAAATCATAAAGAATCATTGACTGGAGTTGTAATAGCCTTTTTACCCCCACTTCTTTCCAAAAACCTCTCGAAACCACTATTCGCTGCCCCTCCTCGCCTCACTGTTCTCTTCACTCCATCTTGTAAACTATCAATCTTGTAAATCATCCGTCTTGTTTTAATTTCTCGCGCACTGAAACCGACATTTCATTCAGCTACCATGAACCGGATGTCTCTCTCTGTACCGGTTCTCCCCCTCCCCCTCATCACCCCCCCCCACCGCATCACCGGAGTGGGGTACAGCACAGCTGGTACCGTGTGTGAGTGTTGGTCACCTTCTCCCAGATCGACTGGAGGTCACCACGAGGTTGTAAGCCACCCCCTGGACAACCCAAGAAGTCTACCAAGGTCAGTCTCTCTCACCGCCTTCCTCGCCACCAACACCCTCCCTCGCCACCACACACTCCCACGCCACCACACCTCCCTCGCCACCACACCTCCCTCGATACCACACCTCCCTCGCCCCCACACCTCCCTCGCCACCACACCTCCCTCGCCACCACACCTCCCTCGCCACCACACCTCCCTCGCCACCACACCTCCCTCGCCACCACACCTCCCTCGCCCCCAAACGCATCTCATCACTACACGTATCATCACTGGGGTGTCGTCACATGCCTTACACGTCATCGCTACACGTGTCATCACGTCATCGCTACACGTGTCATCACGTCATCGCTACACGTCATCACGTAAACGCTACATGTCATAACCAGCAGACACTGCTAACATAAGTCATGGTTTCACAGAATCGCAGCAGTCACCAGGATCATCACTCAACTCATCTATGAGTCCATCGATTAAGCCAACGTGGTGTGTTACATCTGTGGCCGTGAGTTTGGCACCATGAGTCTAGCTATCCACGAGCCACAGTGCCTCAGGAAGTGGAAGGCAGAGAACAGCAACCTGCCACAGCACATGCAGCGTCCTGAACCACGCAAGCCAGAGGTTATCTATGATGGTGAGACATTGTGTTGTGCCTTATGTGTTGTGTGGTGCTGGCTTGAAAACCTTGTGGGGTTGGTGCTGGCTGAAGTCTTGTTTATAGTGTTGGTTTCTAGCTGAAGCCTTTTGTGGTGCATGGTGAAGCTTTGTTAGATGGAACCTTGTGTGTTGTTATGGTGCCCTGGGGAAGCCTTGTGTAAATTTTGTGGTGCTGGCTGAAGCTTTGTGATGCATGGTTATTGTGTGGTCTGATTGAAACCTTGTGTGTTGCGTCTGAACCTTTGTATGGTGTGGAGGTTAATGCCTTATGTTGTGGTTAAGTCTTTTACTGCGTGGTGGTTAATAGCCGTGCTATTGGTGAACACTGTTGTACAACCACATAATGCTGAACTTTGTTGTACTGCCACATAATGTTTAAAAAATGTTTTATAATCACATTACTGTAGGAGAATATTATAACAACCACATAATGTTGAACATTGTTTTATACCAGACAAATTACTACTGACCAGTGTTGCATATCCACGCATCTCTACTACACTGTTGAATTCCATACACACAGTTATAGTGGACTATTGTTGGTAACGTGTGGTAACGTCTTCGTTGTCCTACACAGATCAAGGCAACATCAACCGTGAAGCGATGGCAGAGGCAGCGTGGCAGACACACCTTGAGCAGCTGGTCAAGTGTGAGAAGTGTGGACGAACCTTCTACCCCGACCGTCTCATCGTGCACCCAAAAGGGCTGCCGCAAGGAGACCTGAGTTTCGCCCTAGTTATACCTACCTACCCCCCCCCTCTCCTTTTCTCTCTCTCTCTCAAGGATGTCTGAGAAAGACTTGGATCTTGATCCTTCCACATACTTCCTCCC